AAAGACATGGTTTATCTGTATTCTCAGGTTCTTAAAGGGTCAAGGAACTCGCTCACCATCTAAAGTCTGGAAATTGTGCTTCTTGGGGCCCATGTTTAAGCTAAAAAGCAGTTGCGGAATCTGCATACCGCAATCGCTTTTCGGAAAGTCTTTAAGACTGAGCATCTCTTTTTTCCCCAAAGAAGTTAAAGGAACTTCGGTGCTGCTGAGAGAAAGCAGGGTCTGTTTTTAAGCAAACGTTCCCTGGCAGTGGAATCACAAGGGAGATGTGAGCAAGGATGGGCACCTCTTTATAAAACACTGCAACATGCACAGCAAATTTAATCCAGCCATGATTCTTCGCAACATAAAAATAAGTGTTTAGTAAATGCTTAGGCGTGGATTTGAAAGAAGCTTCAGATACGATTCTTTTCCTCTTTCTTGAGACATGTAACATACCCAAGAATCGAATCGTTTCCTCATAGTTAACAGGTGACTCTTATCATGTCATCTTGTTTTAATGCTGATCACCTCTGGAGTCGCGGTGAGGAACATCTGTACATTTGATTGATTTGTACGTCACCTCGACATTGCTTGCCTAAGCAGCTGTAACTGTCTTTACCCTGAAATGAAGTTCACTAATGGGAATTTGTAATATTTCTCCTTAGGGTTTTGAACCAAGAGGGACTACCATAGGCCAGAGACTGGTCACGTGGAACAACATGGTGAAAAATACGGGATACAAAGCGACACTAGCCAATTACCCCTTTAAATATGCAGATGAGCAAGCCAAAAGGTGACCGTTTATTAACTTCCAGACAAAACACTGCCCGAGCAAAAAGACTGAATGTAAACTGCGTGGCTCCAAATCTTTGCCACGGAGTTTGTTTAAATTGTCATCGCCTGGCGAGATTTTGCTGTATTACGATGAAGAAGTGAGGGGTTGGGACTCTAATTTTCAGAAGTGAGAAAGTTAAAGTTGGGGGCCTCTGTTAATCCTTCCAACATAATTTCGAGTGCAGAACGGGGCGTGGCTCGGAGGTGTCCTCTCACAGGTGGGCTCGTCGGCCTCAAAGTCCGTAATATTTTACTGAAGATCAAATTCATGTGCCGTTTCAGCCACCGAGACGATCGATGGTCAGACGATCATCATGAAAGAGAGAGAAGAGAGGTCGACTGGAACTTCCACAAAGACAGCTTTTTCTGCGACGTTCCGGGTGAGTGTCACCTGTGGATGGGCCGGCCGCTCAGCGCGTTCCTGGCCCCTGGAGGTGGAACATGGTCAGGAGTGTGCGACCAGTCACCCAGCTTCACCGTGTCTGTCTTACTTAGAGAGACTTTAGCCTGGTTCACTCATCATTTTCCTCCTTTAGGCCAGTCAACCACTAATCTGAATTTATTTACCTAGAACAAAAATTAATAAGAAAGGGATTGATCGAGTTATATTCCGTTTTAAGGAAGATATAAACCTCATAAAATTCTTGACCCAAAACTTCAAGTCATTTTTTTTAAACTCCTTCTACTCTAGATCAGGTAACAAGTACCTATTTTTTGAATCGAACCCTCACATAATCTATCGTATGATCAAAAATATACTTTTAAAATTTTGATTCAGTCACAAAGCATCTATCGATAGCCTGTATCTATGTACCTGCTTCGTCATTAGGCATCAGAGATAGGGAGGTGATGAAAAGCAAACGCAGAGGTCAAAGGTCGAATGTCTCGGGGACCGAGCTCATAATCGGGACGAGTAAAGCTAGCGGGTGTGGGACACAGTAAGGGGCGACGCTGGTGGCGAGAACTAAAAGGTACCTCCGGGAAGAAGTCAGCTGCCGCTCTGCGGCAGAAGGCGACCCTCGGGAAATGAGACCCCAAATACTGTAAGAACTTCCCCGAGGTCGGGAACCCGTATTTTAATGTTGGCAGCAAATTCACCAAAAATACACTGTCGCCTTGAGTCAGCCCAACCCCTCTGCAGCGGCCCTGGGACAGGTACACGGCCCGGGGGAGATACACAGGTGTATAAGTCAGTGATGAGGAAGGAGGAATTGTGGGTAACTGCAGTTTCTGACAGCGAAAA